TCTTGTAACTTACAGTTCTTCAGCACTAAATCAAAATTTTACGAGCATTTATGTATAAAACAGTTCTTCAATAACATAAAAACATCAATTTCGCTATCGTTCATACCTTCAATTTCTTGGTAAATGAGAGCAAACGTGAAGAAAATCGAGAAGAAGTGTACACGGAGTTGGTGCTCGGTAGACATCTTGCTTCCAGTGAGGGAAAATCTACCCTGGTCGTCATTATACCTCTTAGGAATACGTGGCAAAGGTTTAACGCGAAAATATTACACGTTCAGCACAATGAAAAAAATTGCCTGGGAGGGTAGCAGTAAGATACGGGGTTAAGGAGAAGCAAAGAGCTGATATGTAATGTTGTTAAAGATACATGTACTTAGTGGGGGTAGACATGTGAGGTTTTTGACGTCCCTGGGGGTACAAGAGCATAAAGACGATGGCGTATAATTCAGGATCACTTAAACAGTAAAAGTTAACAAATATCTAGACTAAAACGAAATTACGACAGCAGTTTAACTTCCCCTTTTAAAAAAATAGGGAAAACACTATAGGAGTTTAAAGGAAATTAAATTTCTGGCAAGAAAGTCTCATTTAGCTCGTAAAGTAAATTATTTTTCCTGCTTAAAAATATGGTTTATCACTGATTATCTCGGCTATTCCATTTCACTAACATTTGCATACGGGCAGCCGAGAAAATTCAAAATTACTGGGCGATTAGACACTCTCTTATTAGATTCGTAGAGTTTTGTTAAGCACTTGTGATATTTGCATCGAACTTCCTTTTTTATGATATTTTAGCTATCCTCTAGTAAACCCATCATCTAACTCAGTGAAGTGTTACAGTGACAAACTGAACTAAAGATATTTTTATCTCCTCGCTGGTTTGCATCATATTTTGAAATAAATACAATTTATCATGGATAACGCCATCCGCTGGATAAATCTCTATCCACTGGAATAGCGCAGTTAGTTTCTCCACAATATGTATCCGCTGGATAGTGATTTATCCGCTGGATAGCGCTATCCAACGTTTGAACAAGGGGCCTGATTTTTACGTTTCATAATACAATACTGAAGGGATATGACTTCCTGGGAACTTATCGTTTTAACAATTTTCAGGTAAATATAATTTTTCGTTTAGGAATCACGTTTGAATTTCTTTTAGGCCTACGCGTTGCTCGAAATTTAAAATGGTGGCTCAGTTCCTAAGTCGGTATAAAATGATCAGACCACTTATGATTTGACCGGATTCAGTCTCTATTTAACTACTCTCTTAATTTTTATTTAGTGTCGATTGATGATTAATCGGTTTCATTGGTAAACTAAGAAACAACAGTGAAATGGATGTTCTGTGGGACACGATCATGGCGTCATCATACTGATAGAAACTTCTATTGTTACTTGCGCTGAAATACCTCTACGAATAACTCAGGCTTGAAAAACCGTACAGAAATGAATTTGTGCGAGATTGTTGATACATTAATCTCGTTTTTGCGACTCGGTTTTCGCGCGCCAGACGGTAGTTTATAAGGGTTTTAATACAAGCCAAAACCGGTGGAAGGAATCCGAAAAATATAGTTAGAGCAGGGCTGGTTTCTTGTCAGCATTGACTCATCAGAGTGGCTTTCGGTGTTGAATTCGGGTTTAATTACGACTCGCAGTATCTTACCTGCGCTGGATCATTGAGGGAATAGCTTCAAATGGTTTTCGTTTCCGCAACCAGAGACGGTGCTTAGGTCCGATTAAGCTTATGTTATTGTTAGAAGAAAGGAAAATTTATAATAGCCGTTTATTCTGTAAACAAAGCGAAATTAAGGAAGTGAGTAATGTGTGAAAATTTATAAAAGCCGCTTATTATCTCTAGTTTAACTCGATTTAAGTGCAGTCGCACACATCTCTACTAAATCGAAGAGCAATGCCATAGACTGATAGTGAAATATGATAATTGTACTGAAAATAAGGGGTAATTTAGAGAATATATTTCAAATGATGAGATTTGCATTTCAAAATTTACTGTTCAAGTGGGCTCGTTCGCTTTGATTTGTTTACCTATAAATTTATCTGTCGTATACATTCGCTTTTTATTTCGTGCCCCTATCAGCATCTATTTGTACAATTTATTCTTTCTTATTTTTAAAATAAAATGGACAGTTTTACAAATTAAGTCTTAGTTATATTTGATAGGTATTCTAGTTCCGAAAGCATACATCTTTACAATGTATGAAATTAAATTTAAAAAAATAAGTAAATAAAACACTATCAACAGGTTGTACGTTACAAATTATCATTTGTTACAGCCGCAAATGGACATGACACTGTTTATTCAGTATTGTCTCTACGTATTAGGCTCTATTCACCATTTTCACATAGACCATAATGCACCTTGTTTACCCCCCAAAATTTTGCATAACCATTGTCTTAGTTTTCTCTTGGGACGACTGAGAAATTGGAAAAAAAAGTTATGCAAAATTTTGGGGGGTAAACAAGGTTCATTATGGTCTACGTGAAAATGGTGGATTGATATTTCCGGCGCTCTAGCGGACTCTGGTAATCGAATCTAGCTTTTGTAGGCTCGTACAGTGTAGGATTGCTGCATGTATACGATTTGAAAAATAAAAATACAGTCCAAAATTGTTCCTATTTCTGGTTTTTGATTGCTTTGGTTTCGGGGACATCAATGGCGGTTGCCTTAATGGTGAGATAGAAGAGAGTTTCAGCTTCACGTATACGGCAAACGTCAGATTCAAGTTCAGAATTTCTCGAAGTAGAAAATTAGTAGATAAAAAAAGCTCAAAACAATTCTTATTCTAATTTATGTGTAGAAATAATGAACAATAAACGACAAGTAATGGGGAAACTCGCATGGTCACGTGGTACAAATTGACATACACGTGATGCTACAGACACAGTTACGACAAACGGCGAAGGTCAAATTCTATTTGAAAATTCTCAAAATAGAAAATGACCAGATAAAAACAGCCCAAAACTTTTCTTATGGATAAAACTGGCGTTATCAGCGTGTATTTTTGAAGAGGAATAAACGACACGTAAAAGGAGAAACTTGATCGTTTGGCGTAAACGTTACTCTAGTAAGTCTCTCGAATATTTACAGTTGAACTACAGAGTGTCTGGCAAGGTTTTCAATCAAAGATTTGTGAACTCGTGTCTAGCAAACTCTCCAAGTTTTTATATATATACACAGTTATACGCACCTTATTACTTCATCTGCGCTTAACGAGTGTCTTTTGGTCCATAACTTTCAAAACAACTGCTCCACAGAATGTCTCTGATTACATGTAACGCAAAAGAGTATCGAAGTATGACTGCACAATAAATGTCACAAAATCTACCTAAGGGGTCCCTTCGGGATTTTCTGTCTTTACGTCATCCTAACCATTTCGTACTTGCGGGCGCAAACAATAAAAACGTCATCATTACCTACCGATTCCTCGCGGCCCCTGTTCAAGCAAATCGAGATTTTTTCTGGCATACTGTTTGTTTCAACTGTAAGTACTTTCCTTAATACACGCGCGAGTTACTAGGGTGCCTCCGATCCTCGGGATTTCTGGGCGAAATCCCTGCGGGGGCAACAATATAGAAAAATTTTAGAATCGCGTTAGCACTGCAGTGCTCTACCATTTAAGCAATGAAGACCCATATATTGGGAGCAGGCCAATTTGTTGAGTTCATCTTAATTAACCCGTGAAAGGAATGAAGCGTGAAGATGATGTGAACTGCGAAAATACGGAACAGTTTAAACGTTCAGATACGATCGTCGTAGCGGTTATTGCAATTTAGCAATTGCAAAACAAAAAACAAACTTCAATAATTTCAATTTACAATAAATGACTTCAAAATCATTCTTTTGTTAATTTTAGGTCAATGGACTTTCCAACAAATTTTGGGTTTGGGGACGTGAAGATGATGAACTGTATTTGATAATGAAAGAAGCTAAATTATCAGTAAGTAATAATATTGCTAATACCACTGAAGCGCATGAAAGAGGATTCTCCTGGAAAACACAGGCAGAGGGTCCACAACTGGAAGCGGCCACTTGATATAGGAAAGATCCTCTTAAGCTGCTTCCCCGGGGGGAGGGTGTATTCCTACGAATTGTTGAAAATGTCAATTTTCAACCCGTCAATTTTCAACCCGTTTTCAGACCTAGCCTTCAAGAAATTATTTCATCATCACTTAGATTAAACAAGGAACAGCAACATTTTTCAAAATCAATTTCGAATTCGAATATTTCTCTTTCTTTCCACCTCATCTGGAATTGAAACGATGAATACGTTCATACCATCCCGTAGTTCGCTCGATTACCGTACCAGATTCCAGAACAAAATGGGCAAAGTCTATACCCGTTTTCAGACAAAAACGGCGCAAAACCCCAACCCTTTGGGGCGGCACATACATATATGGCTTATATAAGGGAGTACACCCCGGCCCCGTGGGGCTGCTACTAGCAGTTTGATAGGAATATTCACTGGCATTGTTTCCAAGTTTCATATGCACGTACACATTTAGAAAAGAGATACCAGTGAATAATGAGGACGCTCACTTGTAAACACAAAACCTGGGGGAAAAATTGGTTATATTTGAGTCCCTATTTAAAAGCTTTCTCTGATTTCAATGTTCTTGAAACTTGTAGGGTATGTTTATTGGCAATTGATTTCGGGATTGTCAAATTTATAACAAAAAATTATCGAGCGGTTTTTTGAAAAATGTCAAATTTGTAGGCATGGACCAAATTACGTGCAAAAACTTTAACAAAAGCAGCTGAATGCAAGTTAATAAAATTCTTCTTACTCGCGATTGCCCATAGCAATTCCCCTCTTTTCTTGTACGCAGTTTTCAATGAAATCAAACCACTATGAGATGAAGCCGCGTTTCCAAAGCTTATCATTTTCTTAAAAATTTAGCTAATT